CATTTAAATCATCGTAGGAGAATTCGTTCAAACAAGAGTAGACTGTATTATTCTGCCGTGCTAAGGAAAAACGCCGCATGAACCTTCAGGCGTTGCCAAATTTCCTTTGATTAAACACGAATTTCCGAGTAAACTTATGAATATGTTTCTTCCAATTTTTCAGAAAATTTTGTTCGCAATTTCACCTGAAGTCCCTGAAAGTTTCCAGGAAAAATATTTATACCTTTCCCCAAAACTAAACATTCTATTGAAGGAAATTTGGCAACTCTCGAATGTCCATACGGCGTTCCTCCTTAGTACGGCAGTATTGTTGTGAGTACCAAGCACTGGACAGTAGTATTTCGAAGTTTTTTTGACAATGAGTCAGTTATGCGCTGCGCTGGTCACAGAAGCATCTTCTGATGCTTGATTTCTCTAGATTAGCCAAAAATAGGAAGGTCTGTCCAAACAGCAACTCTGTACGCTCAATATTAACCGAGATATCGCGCTTAAAAATTCGGTTTATGACGTCATCCACCGCGGAAGTGACACACTTGGTTTCTTTCACCTTGGCTTCAACTATCAGTTAGACACATATTTGAACCGGTAACTTAACTTGGGACTCGGATGAAAGCAAGTTGGAAGAAACCAAGGGTGTCACTAACGCGGTGGATGACGTCATAAACCGACTTTGGCAATGCGCGATATCTCGGTTATTATTGAACGTAAAAAGTTGCTGTTTAGACAGATCTTCTTAGTATTAGCTGACTGGCAAGAATTAAGCGTCGAAACACGATTCTGTGAACAGCGCAACTGACCCATTCTTGGTCCCTAGTCTTTCTGGAACCAGTTAAAAAGTTTGGAAATCAATTAAGTAATTATTATTCTGACAATCTTTATCGTGCGTCCAGGGGTCGCCGTGCAAGAAAGCATGGACTCTGGATAGTCCATTTTCTGATTGGTCACGCGATTTGAAGCGGGCGAAAACACGTCCACAAGCGAAGCATTGGAGGGATCGGAAGGGGCCGACCCTGAATTTCCTCAACTCAACAGGTTTTTACTCATTGAAGGTCTATGTTTTGCGGAATGCATCATGATTTGGTCATTTTCGGTCTCTTTTCGGGTCTAATACTGATCTAAATATGGGTCTGAAGGCCGATCGTGGCGGAAAACTCGCATTTTTCGCCACAATCGGCCTTCAATCCATGTTTGGGCCAGTATTAGCCCCAAAACAAGATCGAAAATGACCACATCATGATAAATTCCGTAAAATATAGACTCTCACTAAGCGGAAAATCGTGGAATTGAGGAAATTTAGCTGAGCGGGTCCAGAAAACGGCCATTGTAAGGAAATGCTTAGAATTGCTAGGAACGTGAAACATTTTTATGATTAGTTGATGACTTACCACTCATTACTGTGCTCCTTATACCCGTAACCATATCAGCAACTCCTCATGAGCGTTAATTTTTAACAAAACGCTCAGCAGATTGTTTTTAAGCCGGGCATTCACTGATCATACTTTATTTCTCTACAGGCTTTCAGTCTTGTTGACAGTGATTTCCATCACCAGTATTTACATATTTCTCTGTCAATTTGGATGGGAATCTGGGTTTTCTTCATGGTGGAGCGCTTACTGAAGATAATCAATGATGCTAAACAGGTATGTGCACGTATGTATCTAGAGAATGAGAAACGAAACATAGAACCCACCAGGAAAGGTCTTAATTAGATCATGTAAAAGTAGCCCCCGTCTTAAATTTTATATTTAGTGAGTCGATTTGAAACTCTTGTTGGTGAAAAATATACAATTTGTCGTAAAAGAATGTATAGATTGCCTTTTACAAAAAGGAACCAAGTGCATTCCAATGTTGCTAGAATTGCGAAATTTACATTCTTGGCAATAAAATTACTGAAATCATGCAAAAATTAAATTTACAAAAGTAATTTTCGTCTTGAATTTAGAGTGTATTGAGAGTAAAGATGAAACTCGTTCAGGTGACCAGTTTATATTTGCAAGGTAAAGAGTTGCACAATCTTGGCATAATTGAAGTGCTTATGATTCCTTTTTGCAAAATTCAATCCACATAATAATTAATAATAATTTATAATAATTACATTTTTTGCCCCTGTCACTTGCTTTCGGATAAAAAATCAGGATCCCTGCTATCACATTTATTCTAATTGTATCTCGCTGGGGTAGTGCAATTGCGCCAAAGTGGATCCTTTTCACTGTTTTTGGCATGTATGCGTAATTATCTCATTTAATGAATCATTGACTTCCTTGAAACTCGTCAGTTCCTCAGGCGGGACAGAAACACAGCTGTAGACAACAAAATTTCTGAATTCCGTCACTCTGTTGCTTTTAAAAGTTTACTGAACTGCAACTAAAAACACAAATAAGCCAAGTACGTGTAGTTATGGTGTCTGCCACATCCGGGATGTGCTGTGTCGCCAATTGTTGGAGCATAGGTGACTTGCCTGGATGTGGCTACCGACTCTAATAATGCAGAAATTCCTCAGCAGGAAAATTTATTGTTTCCATAGGACACAAAAAGAAACATTTTATATGTTAAAGGGTCCCTTAAACGTATAATCAAATACCTAAAATCTTCTTTAATAAAATTTGCCTTGGAATTTCGTAAATTTGTAGTTTAAAGTTGGAATTAACATTCCTTTGGAAAGGCTATCTAGTTTCCCATATTATTTTGAATATTTTAGTGTATTTTAAATATATATTTGTGTATTTTGAATATATTAGTGTATTACGACAATATTTATTCCTCAGAGATGCGAGAAGACAAGTTTGCATGATGGAGAAGTTCCTCTTCAAAACGTCAGTGCATTATCATCTCCAAATCAAAATGGAATCTATGATTGTCAGGAACAAGCAATCAAGGCTTCTTTTGGTCACCAAGAGGTAAGTAAGATTCAAGAAAAAAAATTTTCCCTCTTCAGGAATAGACTCAGAAAAATATCTCCTCTTATTTTAAGAATTTTATTTCCTTAAGAACCACCTGTCGTGTAGGTGTAGGTCGCTTAACATCAGCAGTGGACCAGTTATACAAATTTTATATTTGTCAATGGCAAAAAACAAGACAGGTGGAATGAAGTTATGTGTTGGGTCAGCATTGTCTGTTCTTGACTTTGTGGTGCCTATGTTGGGTGGAATTGACAAGAAGCTTTTCAACTTATGAAGTACTTTTAGGCTACTATTGATTTGATAAATTTCCGACATAAGCACGACAAGAGAAGAACTCATGAAGCTGATTAATCACATAACTCCACTCCATCTCAGTCTTGCTTGTCCAGTTGAGAGACGCAAAATTAGTCAGCCTGCTGGTGAATTTTCCGAACAAACCTTTACTTTATCAAGAGAAATTTTGCCCCACAGATGCCTGATTTTTTCCACTCTAAGTTGAAATGCTTCCTAAGTCATGATTAGTGGCTGTTACCAGAAGAGAGGACTCAAGTATACAAAGATATTTTTCCGAGGAGAAACGTTTGCCAAGTTGAGGAGAAAAGTTTGAATTTGGCACTCCAGTATGTGTAAATACAAATGGACCACTAGACAAGGTACGAATTTAAGGATTCTGATACATGTTTCTTAACCAGAATTTCACGTAGAACTTGATTCTTGCATCGAAAATCACCGAAATCATTTCCTATCTAAGGATATTAACATTTTTATTTTACATTGGTTACGGGGAATTTGAATTACCCGATCACACGAAACTCTATACTCTACATGAGTCCAGTCACGTACTACAACGGTTTCGGCAGGCCTCTTAATCTAGCACTGTTCATTTCCCACCCTGTGTTGTTCCAACTATAAACAACTTGCTACAGCTGAGCCTAAGCGTCAAGATTGAGGTTGCCAGATTTTCATATCGCAGAGATGGTCATGGTAATTTTTAGTGTGCGATTTGACTCTTGTCGACCATTGAGTTGTCATGAGCCAGAGGTTTGAATTCACGCATCAAGAAACATTAATTATATTGGTTAGGAGTTGATTTTAGTAATTTTCATTGCGCAAATTGTGTCCAATTTTGGTTAAGAAACATGTATCAGAATGCTTAACTTTGTATCATGTCTAGTGGTCCATCGTGAGCAGTTTATACAATACAGAACAACAACATTCTGTGAATTTTTTATCATAATTTATTGATTTATTCAATGTAATTTCAGAGGCCAAAAGTCTGCAGTAGTTTCACGAACTTGGCAGGAGATATAAAAAAAATCGAGCACGGACTACAAAAAGGAGATAATGTGATAGCTACTGTTGCCTGGATGGTCATTTTCGGTGATGGACTGCACAATTTCATCGATGGGCTTTCTATTGGTACTGCTTTCAACCAAAGTATTTTAACTGGTATCTCCATCAGTTTAGCTGTTATGTGTGAGGAATTCCCTCACGAACTAGGTATGTATTAATGATAATTGCCTGTCGTTTGATCAACCATTTTTGCCTTCTACAAAGAACTTGATTGCCTAATATGTTTAAACTGAGATGTCCAATGTACATAGTTTGAAAGAAAGTCCTGATCAGCCATTTTGAAGTTTCTGCCACCGTTAATTTTCTCTGAGGAGTCAGTATTTGGTTCTTATTGTTGCTAAAGTTTCTAAATCCAAAGATATGAACCTCCTTAGTAAACAGGCTCTTTTTAAAACAATTTAGAACTTCCTTTCGGATATTTCCAAAATGGTAGCTTTGCATATTGGTGGTGCCCAAATGGTCTCACTTTTTGAATTAAATCTCCCCTCACTGAAAGAAAAATGAAATGTAATAATTTTTCTTTGCTTCAAAATAAATCTCTATGTAGAGTAATAATTATTTGAAGACATTAATTATTTCCCTCCTATTTCCTAATTATTTCCATTAACGGTCTCCTAATTTGCTGTATTTTTCCCCACCAGGTGATTTTGCTGTGCTTTTAAATGCGGGTATGACGATACGGCAAGCTTTATTGTATAATTTTCTGTCTGCTTGCACATGTTATGTCGGTCTCATCATTGGAATAATAGTAGGAGATATTGAATGGAATATTTACATTTTCGGTTTTGCCGCTGGCATGTTCCTCTACATTGCACTGGTTGATATGGTGAGTGAAACTTCATCCCAAAAGTACTTTCAACGAGTTGAACTGAGAGTAAACTTTCCTTCAGTTTTATTTACATAGATGAATCTTTGCTCTAGGCCTTATCTAATCTAGAATTTTACTGTCGAAAAACTGTATTAAGGAGAATTTGATTTTCTGTGAATTTAGGAGATTCTTCAGATGAAAACCTAAGGTTATTTTTGCTTTTACCAGCAAGTGTTCCTGACCATGCCAATATCCTGTCATAAGTAAAAATTCAGCCACCCTTCCTTCTATGAGTGAAATCGCTAGATTAGTAGAAAATTTTGAAGTCATCAAGCTACCTCGAACAGTGTAACACTGTCATAAAATTGCAGGTCTTTGCAATTTGACTTTTCCAAAAATGGTAGGTTTGATCTTATGGTCATGTCATTAGGATGACGGAAGAGAGGCTGCCAAAAAAGATGCTTGATTGGGTTCCTCCTGGGAGGAGACGTAGGGGACGCCCAGTGAGAGTTTGACGACAGGGGGTGTTAAATGAGATGAGGGAGTGTCAACGTCCTGATGACTTGTGGAAAGACCGAGCTTTGTGGTGATTAGGCGTTGTAAAGCGCCAAAGAGCGCTATTAAAGCGACTCATATGTATGTATGGTTCAAAGCTACTTTAAATAGGCTGAACTAGTTTCATGCATTTTGCAAAAATTTGAAGCTTTTTGCTTTTATGATGTACACTGTGTAACTAACTTGTGAGACTGATCTACCTACTTTTTATACCTGATTAATGATCTTTTGTTGTTCATTTTGCAGGTACCTGAAATGAATGAAGTTGTAGAGGAAGCCAGTAAAGAGAGTATCGGCGCTGCATTTCAAGCATTAGTGCTCCAAAACATTGGCATTTTCACCGGTGTCACTGCCTTATTTCTATTAGCTAAATATCCTGAATATTTCACGATTATGTGAATGTTCTCTCCTGTACATTTCACTGTGTGTACTTTTTGACTTACTTTAGGTACTAAATTATTTGTTTTTTTGTTACTAATGATTAAATGCTGGGAGAAGCCATGAAACTTAGTGCAGCATGGTGCTCAGAGTGTGAATTGTGTACAGAATTTTTGCTAATTTTTAATATTTTGTTATAACAGGGAAATATAAAAACCAGGGCTGTACGGATAGACCAAAATGCGATTTAATAAATATTTGTGTGGTTGAGAATTTGGATTTCTCAGTAACTTGCTTTGTAACAATCAGCTCAGATAAAACTGGAGACATTGTGCAATGTAATCGGAATGTTATTTTTATCATATTTGCATACTACCCTGAAGATTCTTGTTGAAGCTTGTCTCAGCAGAAAGTAACAGAATATTATTTGTATGTTGGGGTTTTGTCCCATGTAAGAATAGTTTGAATTTTCTGTGCAAATTTCCTTAAAATTTAGGTAAAAACAGTCGTGCAATATTTTGAAACAAAGCCAAAGAAACAAATGGGAGTTGTAAAAATAGTGATGAAGAATTTTCAGGATAGCCATTTCTGTCAAAATGTGTAAAAAAATCGATATTTAAGATTTCATTGGTGAAATCTCTGTAGTATCCGAAAGACCAAGTTACCAGCAGTACAGTCCATTGCAGCATAACAATTTAAATCATTTATGGAATGGCAAGCCGCAAACAATTATAGCTTTAGTTTGGTGCGACATTTTTGGGCCGTCTATGTTCTGAAATGTTTGTGAAAAACATTTTTTAACAAAAAGTTTTGCGGTACAATAGTCTTTTTCACAGCAACCAGTGGTCATTTTTATATTATTTGCATTATTTACAGGTGTTTGCACACTTTTAAATTATTATTTGTATCCCAAAAAAGTACAAGCTTCCTTTGAAATATCTTTTCATTCTAAATTCATTATGCGTACAGCCCTTGTAAAACTGCATGGTTACCAGACATTCATTCGTAAGTTAACCTCATGTAGCAATATGTATTTTCTTCTTTAGCTAATCCATATTATCCTCTCATTGAACCTTTGGCAGCCGAGAAAAGATGGGCTCAACATACACGGTGATTTAAAAGTCCTGCAACACTCCTGTGGGGGTTCTTGGTGGAGTTCTTCCCAACATAGGATTCTTACCCCTTTTAAATTTTTGGGTGGTCCCAAAAGTTTGTTTCCCTTAACCGAGGAGCACTCACAAAATTTCAAATCTCTACCTCAATTTGTTCAAAAGTTACAGGTGTGGTGCCTGTTGCTAGTGGTGCGGGACTTTTGAATCACCCTGTATAAATAAAAAGGCATAATGATGTTTCTTAAATTTTAGACTGGCTGCTTTTATCTCAAATTAAACATTTGACAAATAAATATGCTGCACTAATTAACTAAAAATGCATTTGTTGATAAAGTGTGTTAGTAATTTTTTAATGAACTTTGAAAAAAAAGAAAAAAAGAATGAACCGACATTAAATTTTACAAATTAAAGTCTAATTTCAAGGTCAGTTTTTTTAGAGTGGCAACTTTCATTTACATATTTTTGCTCTGTCGACGATTCCTTGCGTTTTATCAAGTCCTGTTCCTTGTCAATTTTGCTAAAGGAACCTCTTAAAGTGTTTTCAATCGTCCATTTTTCAGCTGTTTTGCTGATTTTGTAATTCGCACGTCCAGCACTAAGAGACTTACTGATTCCTACTCATTGATCAACTACACATCCTGATTCCTCCATTGGAATTTTAATTAGAAATTGAGTCAACGCAGAGCAGTTATGTTGAGGTACGAGGAAAATCTATCATTTTCCCAAAATGAGTTTACCCTAGCTGATTTTTTTGCTAGCTCCCCTCATGTTAGGTTTCACCGCATGAGTTTTATGATCGATTGAGCCCTCAGGTCAGAAACAAAGCGGAGAACTGTTTGTTACAGAAGCTCATATTATTACTCCCTGGCTTCCTGCCCATAAGGGGCAAGGAAATATTTTTGGATCTGCCCGTAACTTTATTCTAGAATCTAATTTGTCTCCTTTTTTCAAATTTTCAATGGCTATCCCTGTCCTAGTTGAAGTGACTCTTACAAAAATTTGGTAATGAACTCCCTATGAAACTCTTGAAACAAAACCAATCGAAAACCGTTGATTTTCATGTAAAAATTATGTTAAACTTATGAATCCCATATTAAAACTTGACTCGAAAATTTTGTGAAGGTCAAAGAGTTTTTTGTATTGATATAATATGCAAAGTAATTGCAGAAAAAATGTAAAAATGTTGTAGAAGCTCGATGAAACAAATCAATAATAACCACATTGAAGTACGAGTTGATGGTTAAACTCACAAAATTAGTTATTTTAATCGCAACAGTTCATTTCCAGGTATTCCTTATTTTTTAGTAGGAAAATAGAGAAGTAATTTCTCAATAATATTTCTCAATATGAGGGTGAAATACTTCGGAAAAATCAGAGGAAATTTCAGACGATTAGTTTTCCGTCTGACAAAATAAGGAAAGAAAAATTAGAGATTTTAAAAAAAAATTTGAACCGTTACAATTGAGATAAGTAATTTTAAAGCTGAGCCCTCCCAGTGTATGTTTTGGCATACAAATTTAGGGGAAAAGATTTCCATTTTATATATTCTAAGATTCCTTCTAGGATTCTTATATTTTTCGAATGTTACTATTTTAAACAAAATGTTTATTATTCCCTGCTACTAAGGTAGTTCTTTGTGTGTAATATCCTGATTTCTTTGTTAATATTAGAGAATTATCAAATATGAACTCACTGTAAGCTCCGTGAACACCACTAGTTCGCCTCCATGTCTCTTTGCATAGTCGGATCCCCCAAGTAACCAGGTAATGCTTTCAAGTTTAAATTATGTTGCTTCCAGACTTTCGTTCCTATTTTTGTCACCAAAGAGAACAGCTCAGCAAAAAGAGGATAGAAACTCTAAATAAATTGTGCCAGTGACAACTTCCTCCCCAAGGAAAAAGGATCATAATAGCAAAAAGTTAATAACATGTATTCCCAACCCTCCGCTTAAGCTGCGTTACTCTGAAAGAACCAACCTCTTTTGAAAAAAAAAAAAAAAACCGTAATACGCATTATGGTCTCATGGAGATTTCCGAGCCCAATCAAAATACCCTTTTCAGAGGAAATCGCTTTGCCACTCTTTTCTTTTATTTTCTAAATGATATCTTCGCCAATTCGCTCTCTTATGCAGATAAGTACTTTTCCTAGTCTGTTCAAAAACTTGATCCTTTTTTGACGAATGCTGTTCATATGTACCCTCTTAGACCAATTTTTGTAAGTTTTCCCAACAGTTTCTGTCTATGCAACCTTAAGACTGATTCCCAATAAACGTTTATCTATGACCAGTGGAACCAAAAAAGTATTTGGTTTAACTAGCCGTCAAAACTATTAAAAAATTGTAAAATGGCGGCTACAAACATGATCAAGAATCTCCAAATAATGTAAACTCTTAATCATGATCCGAACACACGTTGTTTTGGCGTAATTTTGCAGTAATCCCAAAAATATTAATCGGTCCTCTTTCATTGCAAAGAGTTTTATGTGGCGACTGTATAAAGTTGTTTTATTTTTCATTTTTTTTTTCTGTGTAAATAGTATGTTTCATTTTATTGATTTCTATGTTGTATCTACCTAACCATTTTAGATAGCCATTTTTCAGTACCTGCGTGTTGTTGCACTCATTAGGCATGTACTTAGTTTTAATGTAGTTTGAAAAAAGTGCAATCTACAGATCAACCTCCGTGATGTTTAAAATTTCTTTTTGTTTCTTGTCTCCACACCATAGGAAACGATTTTTTATACTCTCTTTCATCTATTCCTATACTATCCACAAACCCTAACAATTAGAATTGTGCATCTTTAATTACTTTTTCAGTCTTGAACAGTCTTAGTGGCATTGGCTGTTGAGAAATAAGTTAAAAAACTCGTGAATTTCACAGAGACTCACTTAAAAACACTTTTAAAATATCCATGTCAGGAAACATTTTTCCCCCTTTCATGCAGAGATCGCACATTGCACTTTGCAAGTTTTTTATGACTATATTTTGGTACATTCAACATAAAATTCTAGCTTTCGTTATTTATGTACTGAAGCACACCCAAAAAAATTTTAATCGACCAGTTCCAAATCTTATAGCCCCAAAATATTGAAGCAATTATTTGATTAATCACATTATTACGTAATCTAAGATTTAAAAGGGTCGATCAATACAGTTTATACTGTTTTTTTTTTACATTTCATTTCTGTAGCTTGAGTTTTTTTGAGAATGACCGACTCAACTGCCATTGCTACTAGGGATTTTACCTGTCTGTCAAATGGCTGCTAAAAGCTTTCTGAATTGAGAGAAATACTCTTTCTTTTCTTTTCAGTGTTGTATTTCTGTAAGTAGGCCATCCGCCTGAGTCCTTGTTGAATGTTGAGACTGTAATGCATTCACTCTGTACACTGTTGCTTGTTCTGTTTAAGGTTACCATGAATTAGTTCAGTTGATTTAATCTTAAGCGACTTAAGAAGTATATGCTGATAGCCTGATTGATGTGGGAATGAGTTTTTAAGTCTGAAAACTACTCAATACGCAGCTATTGAATCATTAATTGTACGAATTCTCATGCAGTAAAATGAAACATTCTTGCTCAGTGCCGCAGCATGGAATGTGCATTTTCATTTGATATTCAGCCACCTTTTTCACCCTCGTGGATTTTTTTGTTAAGCCATGTAATGATTTTTTAGAAGACTCTTTATGCCTTTTTTTTAACAATTCACCACCTAGTGTTAGATCTACTTGAATAGATTGAGTCAAAAGTCTGACCAATATTTGAATCAAAGAGAACTAAAACAAATCAAATCGGATTTTTTTTCGATTTTCATTTTTTTACGGTTTAATATTGCTCATGAGCAAATGCTTCCAAACAAAGAAGGAACTTTCGGAATTGCCATCAGAAGTGATCAAAGCAGCGGCACCAAAAAACTTCCTCAGACCCCCCTTCTCTTCACCTTTTATGTACTTTTTGTATCCTCAGAATTTTTTCATTTTTTCAAGTTGGTGTGTTTTTATTCTCACTGATTCAATTGATTTAATTGATTTCTTGTAAAAGAAAAAAAAAAGGGGGCGAGGGCGAGAAAAAATGATAACCCGTGTAGATATCCAAGATTTAATTTTTACCATGAGAGCTAAGCAAACTGTAAAAGGAGAAGAAAAGTTAGGTATGAGGGAAAGATAACACTCATTTCCTATTTCAACTTTCTTGTTCTCAAATTCACTAGTTAGTTACCGGTTTTTTCTTTTCTTTTCTTTTTTCGGGTAATTTGTAATTTTTTATTTTTTAATCAAGTGGCTATTTCAATATTTTTTCTTACATAAAGTGTATTTGCTGTAAAAGTGGTGTGCAAGATCTTTCTCTCTGAGGACCTCTTTGCACTCATTAAAATTTCCAGTAATAATTGGAAGACATCACTGTTAAAGGCTTTAAGTGAGCCTACGGAATATTTTGCAATAATAGTCGTTTGAAATAAACCTTTATTCAACTTATAATCCAAAGTAAACATCCAAACACATTTTAGGGAAATTTTTCTGTTCTAATTAGGAAGTTCAAGGTTCATTTATGTCTTCAACTCTAGTGTGATTTTTCAACTGTACTTTCATTGCCCCGAAATCACTAAATCGTCACCTAATTCTGTCATCTGTATCACACATCAATAAAAGCGCTGGGTCTGTAAAGGGAAAATCTGGGTGCCAGCGTCTCAAAATCTCTGCTATCATTCTGCTGTCTTTCATTATCTTTTTACTAGAAGGTGCCCATATAATCCCAGAGTTTTAAAGGATATTAGAGAGAAGATTCATGTCAAAAACAGAAACTTTTTTTTTCTTTGCTGCATTCCTCCCGAGACAATTCTCCATAAATTTGCTTCAATTTATAAAAAGTAACATAACTCATTTTCAATCTTGATCCAGGAAAACTAAGAATCTAAAGGCCACATCAATATGATCTTAGGCTCTTAGACGAACCACATACTCGGCTCCATCATTATTTTCTCAGGATTAATGTGTAGAAATTCAAATGATATAGATGCAGTATGTTGTAGATTTGAGTTCTATCTTTCGCGCAGTGTTGCAAATAAACTTGATCAATTAAATAATTGCCAATGGCTCAAAAATCCTGCAAAGTAATATTAGAAAGTTAAATATTAGAATCTTGCCCGCTGGTACTTCTCATTACAACCGGTAAAAGAAGAACTGATGCAGCATTTATGTGATAATAAGAACTTAAATTATTCGCGATCTTTTCTGTATTTATTTTCTGCAGCGAAACCAGTCTTTCTGTCCATACGAGTATGTAAAATCTTATGTACTTTTTTTTACTAATTATTTTTGCTTTTTTTATGTATATATTACCGAATGATGTATGTGCAATTTTCAAGAATTGGTGGAGTTTTTCACCATTAGTTTTGTATAACTCCTATTAATCAAATAATTTTTCTCTCTTTCTGTTTTTCATCATCATCATTAAACTGATTTTTAAACAAATCACTCTTTTCTTTGCAAACCCATGCACTCAGGGTGATCCGAAAATCCTGCATCAACCCCATAACCCTTAGCCTTCTCGCCTCTTTCAAGGTGATCCCCTAAAAATTTTAGGGGGTTCCGAAAGTTTCCATTTATCTAGGAGTACTAACAAGATGTCAAGTCTCTATCTCAATTTTTTCAAAAATTACAAGGTTGATGCCTGTTGTTGGTTGTGTAGGATTTTGAATCGCCCTCTAGAGTGATCCTGTCTCTTTCACCAAAATTATCTGAATGAATCATCTTCTCTCTGAATAGTTGGAGATTTACTTTTTTTTTAGCAATTTAAACGATGGGTGACTAGAAAAGGTCAGAATTAGAAGAAAACTTCACATGCTCCTCTTCAAAATGTTACATGGAAAACACTACATACCACAGAAAGTTCAGAAACCAACTCCTGAACGAGATATTAACAAATATTTTGAACACAGATCAAGTGGAAGTTGGGTCGTACAAAGGACGTTATTTGTATTTATGTAATTTAGCGAATGTCTTAGTTGTGAAAAACTATATCTCGTTTAGGAGTTGATTTCCAGACTCTTCTTGTGTGATTCGTTTTCCTCATGAAATTTTGAGGAGGACGCGTGTTACAGAAAGCTTTAACTTATGCCTTGTCTAGTAGCCCATCGATGAAAAAAAATTGAAATTGAAATTTTGAAACATTCCTCAGAGGAAAATAAAATATACCTATTCACCTATATAACCCACATAGCACAGGTTGCAATAAGTAGCAATTACATTGTAAAAATATTGCTATGTCACTGAGTGTTGTGTATGTTGCCTAGCTCCGATTTGAAGGGGCCCCATTTATTGAAACTTATTGCAATAAAATTGAAATAGGTTGCAATTTTTCATTGCATTGCATAATCATTCTAACACATGGAGCTCATTTTGTTGATTGTTTAAAATCGGCTAAATAATATAACAATTTTGCCATTTAATGTTAAAAAAATTACTATTTTATTGAAATTAAATTGTAATTACTTTCAATATTTTCGTTACACTGTGCTACTTGGGATAATTCACGTAGATATCAGAAATATCACAGGAAAAATATGAATTAAATTTTACGCTGTTGGTCAGGGCCTTGGGTACCGACTAAGTGAGCCCATTTCTCACGCCAAAATGTAACCCTAGGTCCCTAGCGTGAAGTCGAAATGGAATTGTATTATAGCTGCCTACATCACCGTTGAAGCAACTTCTTAGGGTCAAAACACGATTTACGCAAGTACCACGGCGAGGCGCGTTGCGTTGTGACGTAAGTTTCGTCTGAGATGCTAATCACTCGACAAGGCCCGCAAAGCGTCACTTCCACTTTTTTGTATTTGAATTTTTTCTTTCCGAACATCGGCCAAACCGGTAATTGGTGGCGCGCGTAGGCTGTTTGAATTTCATGATCAAGGTTCCGGCGGGTTGCGCGATTCCGCTGTACGTACCGGTTCCCGCGCTACGTTGCCACAATTTTCCCGGTGATGTTTGGACCGCTTTTAGCAGAAAGGAACCGAGCCCAAGGTTGCCACAGTCAGGAAAAACCGAGAAATGTCAGGGAATTTTAAAAAGTCAGGGAAAATGACGAAAATGTCAGGGAAAACCGGGAAATGTCAGGGAATTTAAAAAGTCAGGGAAAACCGGGAAATGTCAGGGAATTTTAAAAAGTCAGGGAAAATGACGAAAATGTCAGGGAATACCGGGAAATGTCAGGGAATTCTAAAAAGTCAGGGAAAATGACGAAAGTGTCAGGGAAAACCGGGAAATGTCAGGGAGTTTTAAAAAGTTAGGGAAAATGACGAAAATATCAGGGAAAACCGGGAAATTTCAGGGAATTCTAAAAAGTCAGGGGGAAAAAAGCATTGGAGGGATTCCTGAACTAAATTTCTGGAAAACCTACCAATATAGGTACAAGTAATATTGTAGAAACGTTGAAAATCCGAAGATCAGAGCACCAAAGTGCTACTAAAATCAATAAAACTCAATAAAACTGACTTAAGTCCACAGGGTTGCCACAGTCAGCGAGAATCGGGAAATGTCAGGGAATTATAAAAGTCAGAGAAAACCGGGAAATGTCAGGGAAAATGACGAAATGACGAGGATGTCAGGGAAAATTTGTTAAACCACCTTCATTTGCTTTCTAGAGTGGGTTCAAGGATTCGAACAACAAATTTTGCCTGAAAACTATTTTCAATTATGCCTTCTTAACCATCCGTCACATCTTCAATTGTCAGGGAATTCCACAAAAATGCGTCAGGGAATTTCATTTTCTAAATTCTGTGGCAACCCTGCGTGACGCCACATGTTGCCAAATTTAACTGGGCAATTTAATTTTCTACAAGAGAGCACGTTGGTGCGGATTCTTTTGAAAATGTTAGGGAATTTTTCCTCGTACCGTGCAGAAAATTCTCTGAAATTTTCACAAAAATCCGCACAACCGTTTTCATGTAAAAAATTAAAGTGCTCAGTTAAATTTGGCAATAACTGATGTGGCTTGGTTCCTTTCTGCTCAACGCGATTCATTTCGGAACCTAATTTCGGGAGAACTCGACTAATGTAATATTACATACCGCCTGGTCCTGAAGTCCCTATTCCAAATGGACGGTGGTACTTTCTGCCTGATCGAACCAGCGTGCTGATTACTGAGATCGATAGGAACGGGTGGTTGCTATGAGGGGAAAATGAAGGGAGGAAATATTGGACTAACCACCCTGGTAAAAATTGGCGATAGGAGCTGCGTTTCAAAATACCATGGGAGTTCTTAAAGCCGACTAAAGAAGGCTATTGAAAACCATATAGCTGGCTGTAGAAAGCGGAGCAAATCATATAGCCAGGCTATACGAAGCTATTAAAAAGTATACAGTCGGGCTATAGTTCCTATCGCCGGGCTTTACACTTTATCGCCATTGGCTTTAAAAGGCTATAAGAAATTGTGTAGAAATTCGTGTGCTCTGGAAATCATTAAGTTTGATATGGAACTACCTTAATATTTACAAAACACACATTATATTTTCCTTTAAAACATTTTTTTTTTTTTCATCAATTAAAATGAGAGTGGTCCATACAGAGTGTGCAAAAATTTCAAAATCATGAGTTGAAAAACGCTGACCCCGCGAGATTAAATATTAGAGCCTAACACAAAGCGGAGCGGCGACGCACTGGCGCCTACAAACCTAACAGGGATACTTCACGCATTGCGCAATGCGTGAAGTATCCCTGTTAGGTTTGTAGGCGCCAATGCGCGTTCCGCGCTCTCTGCCCGCCCGCCGCGCCGCAGCGTGCCACGGCGTCTGAAGCAACTATTTCACACCAGAGGTATTACACAGTATCATAAGAAATGGAAGGCGCTCCAACATATTAAGAATGACAGGCATCCTTCAAAAGTACGGAGCTTTCCTCGCAAAATAAATCGAGATACTACGGCACAAAAAGAGAGCGAGAATTCAGGAAACTCCTTTTATTACTATGTATTTTTTTGGTTAGACCTTTGACTAACACCGTACCATTTGTCGCACCCAGGTGTGACCTGAAAGTTTTAGGTCAGATCTAGATTTACCCAGTTAAAGGCATGGGGTTACTAGAACCGCGCATAGGTACCTATCCGATATTCTGCGATCTGGCGCCCCTATAATGACACAATTTAATGAAAATATTGAAATAAAATTGCGATTCATAGCAAGAAAATTTTTGTTTAATTTTTAACCATAAAATTTCAATATTTTTACATTAGTTGGTCCCCAAATGCCGATTTTAAACTTGGAGGAAAAGGCGCATAAGAGCAGTTTTTGCTATTTCGAGAATAACGTGTTTCAATTTTCTAAATTATATGAGGCCTTATGGCGGAAAAAAAGTCCAAACTCGCATTTTGATGCTTAAAAATTGGACATTACCAGTGAACTTTTCACGGAATTTATCTCAAACCTGGATTTAGTTGAAATCACCAAGATGCCAATTTTTTCGAAAACTGCACCCATGCGCCTTATGTCCTTCAAACCCATCATATGTGTTGCAATGAAAATTTGCAATTTACTTCAATTTTATTAACATCCACAACACTCCGAAGCGGTAGCGATAATTTTACCATGTAATTGCAATCCGTGCTACGGGGGGCAAAGGACGCCTTTAAAATTGCGTCGGAGGAAAAAAGCTGAAAAACATGGAATTGAGTTACGCCGCTATGCCGAGCATAGTATTTGTCACCACCAAACACAGTAAAGGGATACAAAACAGAGGTGGATAATAATATTCCTCGGCGGATTACAAAACCCGGTAGAACCGGTTTACCGCGGCGCAGCCTACTCAACGTGAACGGCATCGAGTCAGTCGGCTGCCTCCGTTTCTTGCCGAGATCAAGTTCATGGAGAGATTTCATGCTGCAACTCCGTGCCTCTGCGCTATTACCCTCCAACGGGAATGCAGATATTCACGGTCAAGGTGCCTTTTCACTTAAAACCTCACTCCTGAGCCAGAATTTGTCCGGGGAAAAGGTTCCAATCCAAGTCGGAGAGCCGAAATCATATCGCGCACCGGTATGAGACCGGACAGGCTGATTCAGGACTTCTCAAGTAGAATTTTTCCACGGAAAAATCGCGATATTTTGAAATTAAGTCACGATTTTCTTAAGCTTTTTGGCGATAAAATTGCTGCGATCATCGATATCTGAGCGTTTATCCGCCTCGATCCTGTCGCAATTTCATTTCTATAAAATCGCGTATGAAAAATCGGAATTTTATCTCAATTTATCATGATTTTTTTTTGTTCGATAATATTGCTATGTATCGCCGTCTACAAAATCGGGATTTTATTGCAAATATGTGATGAAATCGCAAGCCAATTGCACCCAATTGGGTGCGAAAAGCTTTTCAGTCTCAGAATTCATAGGAATTCGGTACTACAGTTTCCCGCTCATCAGTAAAAACACTTTCGTGCATGGGGAAACTAATGGCACATACACTGTTCTTAACCTTAGCCAGAAATTGTAGCTCTTAATCGCAAAATGCAGTGGGTGCAATTTTTTTACAATTTTACGCTTTGAAAAAACTTGATTTTCTGGTAATTTTAGACGCAGTAGACGTAGTAGTTAAAAAAATTTAAGCTGCAGAAAAAAACGGCGTTTTTTAAAGATTAATTTCCGCGCCCTTAAAGGTCCTTTAACTTAATATTGCAATATTGCCGAGGCCACGGATGAAGTCAGCACTCAGCCGCTAATAGTTACAGAGGAAAGCCATTTTTCATGAGTGTTCCATAGATATCGCCAAAATTATGAAAAAAAAACGATGATTTTTCTGGAACTTGGGAAGGTCGTCGTTCCGAGGAGAGGCACCGTCGAAGAAACTTTATGGAAGAAAAGTCTAACTCGCTCCTACAGTCTGACTTTTTAACCCCCAGACACCTTGTATTCACAAAGCCGGTTGACAAAACGAGCATATCTCCTCTAACAAACGCGGAGCACCGATGACAGCGCCTTGATACAACTATTCGTGCTTTATGGATGTCCGTGTTGCAGAACGAAAAATTGAAGGCGTTTTGGTTTTCCCTGTCTGTAGGCAAGCAAAGACGAGCCTCAGTTTTAGGTTTTTCTAATGATGAAAATGTTAATCTCATCTGTATTCAATGATGAACATTACGAGGGTACCTCAAGCACTATATTTATTCTAAGTTTGCGTGGTCATGATTAAGTATATTTAAAAAAGGTTATGAAGTTGCATAAAGATTCGTGTAAAAAAAAGATAAGAAACACATAGTGGTAATTAGGATTTTTTTAAGAAAAAGAGACCGATCGTTCGAGAGTAGTGTATACAGGCATTAGAAAATAGGCCTTTATGACTTAAATTATAAAAAAAAGAATAGGCCTATTTGCTCGACGTAACATAACTTTTGAAGTATCGATCTTTCCTTCTCCAAAAAGGCTGATTATTGGAAAAGGTGTCTTATCTTTTTTTACATTTAAGTCATGAAACTTAACGGCTTTTTACTTCTTTAAATATAAGAAAAAAACACTAAAAATTGTGGCCAAGCTTTATGCAACAAAGTTGTAAAATAGTGCCCGGTCATGGTTCACACAATTTTGCGGGGAAAACAAACCCAAAAAATTCACAAATTTCAATTAGAGTCATTTTTTAAAACATATTTAATACAGAACTCGTATACACGGCAATTTATCGTGTGAGATCGTTTCCTTGTGTTCTTCATTACTTAAAATACCGACGAGAACAACATTTTTGTGATACCAACGACCTGTAACTAATTGCAAAGCTCGTCTTTGCTTACCTCGGAAGAAAACCAAAACGCCTTCAATTTTTCGTTCTGCAACACGGACATCCATAAAGCACGAATAGTTGTATCAAGGCGCTGTAATCGGTGCTCCGCGTTTGTCAGAGGAGATATGTTCGTTTTGTCAACGTGCTTTGTGAATACAAGGTGTCTTGGGGTTAAAAAGTCGGACTGTAGGAGCGAGTTAGACTTTTCTTCCGTAAAGTTTCATCCACGAACGCCTCTACTCGGAACGACAACCCTCCAAATTTCCAGAAAAATCATCGTTTTCTTCATAGAATTTTGGCGAAGTCTATGGAACACTCATGGAAAATTGCTTTCCTCTGTAACTATTAGCGGCTGAGTGCTGTTTCATTCGTGGCCTCAGAAATATTGCAATATTAAGTTAAAGGAGCTTTTACGGCGCGGAATTTAATCTTAAAAAACGCCGGTTTTTTTCTCTGCAGCTTAATTTTTTTTTAAACTACCGCGTCTGAAATCACCATAAAATCAAGTTTTTGAACTGAAAAATCTGAGACCTCTCGGAAACCCCCGAAATCCTTCTTAAGATTAAGATTTCGAAGGTTGAGATTTGTGCCGAAATGAAGAATACCTATCGATTGCCAAAATTCGAAACTACTAATCTCCATTTGCGACGATCGTATACTTCCGGTCATACTTTTCTTTCCGTGGAAAACGACCTGTAACTAATTGCAAGGCTCGTCGTTATTTGTCTTAGGGACATGAAAACCAAAGTGCCTTCAATTTTTCGCTCTGCAACCCGGACATCCATAAAGCACGAATAGTTGCAACAAGGCGCTGCCATCGATGCCACGTTCGTCCGTGGAGAGAGAAAGTTCCAGTTTTTTGAAGAGAAGAACAACAAAAACTATTTGTGCATCGCATGGCGTCTTACACGCAAATCGCGACTCCATCCTTCTTCATCAGCGATCATGTTCAAAATTCAGTTTGCTTTTTTTATAGAAATATTCCTTGAAACAAAAAATAGCCTTGAGAGCAATAAACAACCGTGTTTGCTCGCGCGATCATTTTGCAAGTACCATTCTGCCATGCTAAGGAAGAACGCCGCATCGGCTTTCAGACGCTGCCAACGTTCCTGTGAAAATGTACGGATTTTCCGGAAAACTTGCAAATATTTTTCCTCCAATTTTACAGCAAATTTTATTTGCAATAGAGATGTTGCGTGTGTGAGGAGTTTGCAATTTGACTGTTGATTCTTATGTAAAAGTTCGCGAGAAACACGATGGTGCCACTGGTTTTCTCTGAATTCATCTCCCAAGCTCAAAAACAGCTCTCAAGTTGAGGCCAAAATGGAGGGGATACCCCACCCTACCCTGAGAGTCCACCTCTACATCAAAGCAAACTCTTAATGCAAAGATAGTGAGCAAATACATTGACAGGCCTGCCACTTTATTTTGGGAATCTAAAACTGAAAACACGGCAACCCTGCTAATGTATTTGCTCCCTATCTTTGCATGGAGAGTTTGTCTTGATGTGAACTCTCAGGATAGCGTGGGATATCCCCTCCATTTTGGCCTCAAGTTGAGAGCTTTTTTGAGCTTGGGAGATGATTTCAGAGAAAACCAATAGCACCATCGTGTTTCTCGCGAACTTTTACATAAGCATCAACAGTCGAATCGCAAATTCCTCAGACATGGAACATCTCCATTGATCAATTTGAGGGAACGGGTTTTTTGTGATAGATTTTTGATTCTTATGAATTCAAAATGGCAATGAAAAGTGAAAAGAAATTTACTCATTTTCACCTTATAACTTAAACCATGCAACATCTCCATTGATCTCAAGTATATGTTTCACGGGGAAAATGCATTTTGAAGCTCAAGCTGTACACTTCTCATCGGGGAAGATTTGTCATCGCTCAAATGTCCGTGCGGTGTTTTTTTTAGCACAGCAGAACTCTTTTCCTTAGCTTGCCGTAATTTTTTTAAGAGCGTGGCGAGGGGGGCGGGGGGTTCATTCCCTTCCCGTCGACAATTTGCTGCTTTTCCGGGGCCGGCTCAAGCCCGCACTGCGCACGACGGTCATGGTTCCGGCACCGGGGTGACGTCACGCGACGTCACGCGGCGCGCGGCGTCGCCGTCGCCGGCGAGGGGGAGCCGACATTGATTTTACCGCGCAAGTGCAATAACCCAGTTGGCGAATCCGGACGCGATTGATAAACGTGTCCCGTCGTCGCATCGCACCGCGGCAGTGGCAGCAGCACTCGAACCCCGAGCTATCAGTCTCGCTCCGGTTAGAAAGTGAAGTGCGTGGAACTCTAGTCCTAGCTTATCCTCGTAGTGTTTTAAGTTTAAATTCGAAAAAATGTATACCTCTCTCGAGAAATTGGGGCTCCTTTTCTTGGCCTACATAGCTTACAAGATCGGATCCAAACTCCTGACTTTCTTGTTCTACTATTTCGCCGCGCCCGCCCTCAGCCTGGCCGTAGATTTGAAGCGCATGGGAAAATGGGCCGGTGAGTTTTCCTCTTTTTTTCTCCGCCTTTTTATATTCACCCAACCTCATTTTTTCCTAAAAAGATCGGGTCTTAAGGGGAGTTTTCGGCGGGTCAGGTTTTTCCGCGGTGGAAAATATGATACGGTCTATGTACGATCCGTTTTCAAGTCAATTGACATTGAGCGAGGAATTATAGGTTATGGCGATAAATACTGATGTTATCTCTCCCGAACCCGTGACTCTTTTTTCAAGTGTTGATTCCTGGATGAATATTTCACCTTTTTGGCCTCTCTGTTCGTTGCTCGATATGAACTATATATTGCACCGGAAAAAATACACATTTATCACTACACTGGAAAAAATAAACATATTGGATCTAGAGTCCAGACTCTTAAAAACATCGACAAGAAAAAATACTCTTGATTCAATCGGATTTTTACTTAAATCAAGAACCAAGGCTCTTAATTTGAGCGGATTTCCTTTTGATTTAAGCAAAAATCTGGATGAATCAAGAGTGTTTTTTCTTGTCAATGTTTTCAAGAGTCTGGACTCTAGATCCAATGTGTTTTTTTTTTTCCAGTGTAGTAACTTCATAAACTCATACATCAAAGGTCATGTGTATACGATTTCCGCGCGTTATTACACCTTCTATAAATTAATTATTCCAAATGAGCTAAATTTGTAGATGATATTTTCGGAAAAAAATTGTACATATTTGTTCAAGAAAAAAAAATCTTGAGGGTTTTAATGAATAGGATTGTTTAGTTTCAATTTTTTTTAAAAAAAAATATGCCACCCAAATTTGCAAATTTTTTTCATTAGAAATATTAGTCTCTGTGCTTGTAACCCTGAGAGAAGTTCATTCCCATTTTCACATTAGTTTCATGGATGTAGTAGAGGCAAGTCCATTTCCATTCTTACAGTAGTTGNTTTTTTTTTCCAGTGTAGTAACTTCATAAACTCATACATCAAAGGTCATGTGTATACGATTTCCGCGCGTTATTACACCTTCTTTTCTCTTTATGTATAAATTAATTATTCCAAATGAGCTAAATTTGTAGATGATATTTTCGGAAAGAAATTGTACATATTTGTTCAAGAAAAAAAAATCTTGAGGGTTTTAATGAATAGGATTGTTTAGTTTCAATTTTTTTTAAAAAAAAATATGCCACCCAAATTTGCAAATTTTTTTCATTAGAAATATTAGTCTCTGTGCTTGTAACCCTGAGAGAAGTTCATTCCCATTTTCACATTAGTTTCATGGATGTAGTAGAGGCAAGTCCATTTCCATTCTTACAGTAGTTGGATTGGTTTAATACAGGCGAAAAGGCACAGGCAAGAATAACTCATTTTGTGAATTAGACCAAAAGTAGGCAACCTGATTATATTTTGACCATGAATTTAGATGTTGATGGTGAAACTCAATAAACAAGAATATCATTTTCAAGCGTCGCAGTTTTTCCGAATAACTTTATAATTTTGAAGAATGGCCGAACAATAATACTGCACTAAATTTCATCTCACACACCCCCCCCCCCCTCCCCAGTCCTCCAAAAAAATCATTTGAAAATTGTGTACACTTATGTTACGTTACTAGAGGATACTACGTTACCTCAAATATGATGACTTTCATCTTGTTACTTTCTAGGCAAATCAACATAGGTATATGATTTACGTGCTTGAAATACTTTGATATTTTTTCACTCTATACCTAGTGCAATCGTGAAAAATATCGTGCCACAAAGCTGCAAGATTATTCCATAAAAATTGAAAGACAAACAGAGATTTTTAAATGTTGCAATAACTCTAGCTGTTTTCAAGCTGAATTGAGGGGCATGATGGACAAGGCGCATTAGTGCAGTTTTTGACAAAATTGAGTTACGGATGATTTCAAGTATAAAACTAGTCTTCATTCTGTGAAAAATTCGCACTCAAATTCCAATTTTTAAGCATAAAAAAGTCAGTTTGAACTCTCTTTCCGCCATCGGATCCAGCACCTTTTTTTCCTCGTATTTCTCGAAATTGTAAGAACTCCTTTTAAGCGCGTTGTTCCCCAAACCTCTCAATTGATTCATGATCCATAATTGTAAAAACGTGGTTCCTTTGTTACAATCGTGCGTTTTTGTGCTGAAAAAAACCATGCACAAATAAATTAATCAAAAGAAACTATGAATCACGCAAATCCTTTGTGCATATGTATAGACCCTTTTAACGTTTATACGTTCAAGTTATGAAGCGATCTTACTCATGTCCGCCAAGTTCCCCGAACGGAAAAGTATTCCCCCGGCGAAATAGTTTCATAATGAATTCATGCTCTGGACGGGTTTTCCTTCTTAGTGAGGAATGATTTCGCGGGAATAATAACATAACATCCTTTACAGCACCATTTGTTTTGGCGTCACTCATCGTGGGTTTTTAGAGTCTCTCTAGCAACATCGCTCTTTGGAAAACAGTGCCCTCAGCCATAATCAAGGTCAAAAAAACCATACCAAGAGCTAATTTTAATAGTGAATGTATTCGTCTTTTGACGGTCAGTAAAATTCCCCATTCGGTACCTATGTATAAAATTGCTTCATGTCTTATAACGGAAAAATCGTTCGCAAATCCTGCGTGGCCTGATGATGTTTTTGACCAGACCATCAAAACATTCCTTCATTATTTCAGCCGTCTGAACGAGAAATGACTCCAACTTCATCGCGTTATACATTAGCCTGTTTTTATTATTTTTGTGGACGTATTCTATGTTTAAACTCAAACCGTCGTAATTTTTCACGCGTATGAAGGGAGTATGGCGCATGTTCCGCACCATTGAATCAGGTTTTGTGGAGTTTTAACTCATACAGTCGGAGAAAAAAAATAATGGAAGCTCATCTCGTTTTTATTAGAGCGACAAATGGATGAAAATGAAGTGCACTCAAATGGTGTGGATCGAAATGTGTGCCTCTGCATCCATAATATCATCGCTTTTAGTGCAGTATCAGAAACATGTATCATTAAATATGACTAACCTGTAAAAAGGGACCTCAAAGCCGAAAACCTGGAAACGGAGCGTGTAATCACACGCGTTGAAGAGAACGAATGGATACAACAATAACTGCTTCAGGATTGTGCGTGTTACATACATTAAAAAGTGAAGGCGCAGTGTGTTTTCTTTTTGTCACGGCCACCGCGATACATTTTTACTCATCATGTGCACTGCCGTTCTAAGGAAAAACGCCGTATGAGCCATCGAGCGTTGCCATATTTCCCCTGGCAAATCACTAATTTTCAGGAAAATTTTTGAATTTATGTTTACCAATTTCTCAGATAATTTTGTTTGTAATTTGATCTAAGACGTTTGAACATTTCAAGGAAACATACTCATAAATTTCCTCAAAAATAAACATTTTATCGAAGGAAACGTGGCAACTCTCGAATGTTCATACGGCGTTCTTCCTTAGCACGACAGTGCAGTGTCATGCAGTCTTTTCTAAAACCATCACTATACCTTTTAATGCAATTTATTCGTAAAATTCTCGTCTTTGCTGCTGTGCTATCGAAAATAGTGGCAACGACCAAATTTTCAGACTCGAGGTTGAAAATTCTTAACACCGGTAAAAAAAAAACCTCTTGGTTCACGAGTGTAGTTTCTTGTCGCCGGATTTAAGAGTCTGGACTCTTGTTTCAATGCAAAATCCGCTTGAATCAATGCAAAATCCGCTCGAAGCAAGAGTTCAAGACTCTTAAATCCGGCGACAAGAAACTGCACTCTTAAGTCAATGCAACGCGGCATTGGTCCAAGAGGTTTTTTTACCAGTGAAACCTCAGAAATTAGTTGATATCGTGGGGGGAGGGGGGGGATTTGACAACGTCCGAAAGCTCATATGGTGTTCTTCCTTAGCACGGCAGAGTATGAACACAGATTGCAGTTTGTATCTCTGTCCAGACAGTATCACCATCCATCCAGATGCATGCATAATTACGCACAGTGCGGAAGGAATGGGGAGCCAGCTGCAGCTTCTGCGACGTCAATATCGATCAATGAGATCAGATCTGCGGATCGGCTCGGGGGAGCCAGAAAAGGAAAATTCCGACGAGTAACGCAACATGTTAAGTGTTTCCCGCTTTGATCGTCAACATCAGTTGCCGCGCATCTCGCCGCTCTGATTCGCGACCTGTCCCCATCAATCGCCTCTTGAACCCGCGGCGTTTTTCGTCCGAGTCGCTGTCGCGTCACTGCCGTGTGGACGGGGAAAATGCCTCCTTGAACTTGTGGTCCAGGTTCACACGATCAAGGTAGAGCCCTTTAAAAGGCTCATCAATGGCATTGTTGACTGTTCTGCCGTGCTTAGGAAGAACGCCGTATGAACATTCGAGAGCTGCCAAAATTCCCTTGATAAAACATGTATTTTTGACGACATTCGTGCACATTTCCCCCCAAGTCGTGCAATTTTCAAATATTTTAGATTAAAGTGCGTGCGAAATTGTCTGAAAATTTTGGAAAAAAATATTCACAATTTTCCCTCACTGGAAAAAAAACACATTGGATCTAGAGTCCAGACTCTTGAAAACATTGACAAGAAAAAATACTCTTGATTCAATCGGATTTTTGCTTGAACCAAAACGAAATCCGCTTAAATTAAGAGGCTTGGTTCTTGAATTAAGGTAGATTCTGATTGAGTGAAGAGTTCTTTTTCTTGTCGATGTTTTTAAGAGTCTGGACTCTAGATCCAATGTGTTTTTTTTTCCAGTGCTGCAAATTCGATATTTATCGAAGGAAATTTGGCAACGTCTGATGGTTCATACGGTGTTCTTCCATAACACGGCAGTGTTGGCCTCTTTCTTTGAACATAACCGATGTGTTCGAGACACATCATACAGCGATTTTTATTTAGAGGTTCGGTACTACTTTTACGCTCGTAGCTCCCAGCTGCCATTTTATTTTGAGTTCGGTATTTTCGATTCGGTAACTTACGAATCGCGATATCGGTGTGCGATTTCGGTAGCGCCTCGCGAGGTGGTCCTAAAAAGGTTCGACCT